GAGACTGAATACTCAGAAGTAGAACTAGGCAGCTATATTAGTTGCCTAGGGCTGCTGTCTCACATTCCTATGAGACAGTATGAGAGTATGAGACAACACAGGGTCACTACAAGTCTGAATTGACTTGAAGGCAATGGGTCTTGTGCTGCTGTAACAAAGAACCACAAAGTGGGTAGCTTTAAACAATAGAAATTCATCATCTCACAGTTCTGGAGGCTAGTTGTCCGAATTCGTGATGTCAGCAGGGCCATGAACTATCCGAAAGCTCTAGAGGAAGATTCTTGTATCTCTCAGCTTTTGTAGCCCCAGGCATTCCTTGGCTTGCAGATGCATCTTCACATTACCATTATCCCTCGGTCTAGCCATGCCTCATCTTCTTTTTCATAGGAACACCATTTTGATTAATTGGGATCCACCCTACTCCAGTATGACTTCTTTCCTCACCTTGGATTAAAATGTGTCTCCCAAAAAGTTATGTTGAAGTCCTTAATCTCTGGTACCTGTGAACATGAGTTACCTACCTAATGTCTGATACCCAATTCTCCTTCTTTAGTCTCTATTTCTAAAGTTGACAGAATTATTTTAATTACATCCTGAGGTTTGGGTTCTTCTTCAAACCAAGCCATCTTCTGTACTACTGACAATTATCTTTCTAAAATGCATCTAATTATATTATGTAACTACTTAAAAAAATGTTGATGACTTTTCATTGTGAGTTGTAGGTGGTCAATTCTTAAGAACATGGAAATAGATTGTCCACTGAAAGTAAAAACTACATAAACAAATGCATAATGGAAGGAGATATAGTCTTCCAAATACAGGACTTTGACTATTTACACAGCTAAACAGTATTTAGCAACTTTTAAGACCTAATTCTAGCTCAGCATTGTAGCTCTATCTCCTACTACTCTTCCTCCCTATCCTCAATATACATCCCGATCACTATTCTTTAGTGTGCTGTTCTGTCTAGAATGTCTTACCACTTACTAAGTTTCTACTCATCATTTAAAGCCAGCATCATATATTGCCCGGTTGCTTCAAGAGATAGTATACAGGGTTTTAGACATTCTCCATAATCTTCATCAATCCTCTCCAAGCCACCCAAACAAAAATAAAAATAACATTTTTTTTGGTATGGATGGTTGGTGTTTCCGCAATACCAGCTTTCAAAAACCAGTTAATTTTTATTGAGCTGCAACATATAAGTTAAAGCAAACTACTTTCTGTGCAAGTTCATCTTCTAAGTCCCCTAGTCTACATTTCCAACTAGATAACTAAGTCATGAGGTGTCTACTTTAAGGAGCCCTGGTTGTGTAGGGCTTAAGCAATTGGCTGCTAACCAAAAGTTTGGCAATTCAAACCCATCAAAATTCTGAAACTGTCAAAAACTGAATGTTGCCCTAAGAAGCTTTCTCTAGTCTTCTGTTCCTGACAAGTAATTAGTAGCTTCTCTCTCTGGGCTCTCATAGCAGTGACCATGCATACTGTCATCTTACCAAATACTAACTAGTATACTGCATTATATTCTCTTTTTGCCTCTTCCACTAGGACAGCTCATCTGGGGTAAGGACTCTATAACAGTTTCCTCATGAATAAAACAATGATGATAAGAAGACATATCTCACAGAGCTGTTGAAAATTAAATGTGTTAATGCATATTTAAAGCACTTAGCACAGTGTCTGACATATAACAAGTGCAAAATAAATGTTCACGATTATTTTTCAATACATGCCTGCTGAATGGCAAAGCACTAGCCCAGACTCCCACAGCAGATAGACCAGATGTATGGTTCATAAAAGAGCATGATGTGAAAACACACAATATGTCTTGAAATGGTAGTTCTGGTAGTGTAGTGCCTAAGGCATTTGACTGCTAACCAGAAGGCTGGATGGTTCAAACCCACCAGCCACTCCTCAGAAGGAAGACTGGGCAATCTACTTCCATAAAGATACCGCCTGGGAAACCTAAGGAGGGGTCGCTATGAGTTGGAAATGATGCGACAGCAGTGAGTTTTTTTTTTTTCTTTTCTGTCTTGAAATGGCTTAAGAGGTCACTACTGAAGCAAAATGCCTCACTTTATTAACTGTTTACAGATGTGACATGAAACTGAATAATAGCTCTTTTATATTTGTTGTTGTTGTTGTTGTTAATTTGCCATTGAGTCGGACCCAACTCATAGCGATCCTTCCTTGGGTTTCTGAGGCAGTATCACTACGGAAGTAGATTGCTCAACCTGGTGGGTTTGGGTGTGGCTGGTGGGTTTGAACCGCCAGTCTTTTATATTTAATAGTATAAAAAGAAAACTTTCAAGGTTTTGAACTTAAAAAAGAAATTGTTCTGGTTACCTAGTGCCACTCTGACAGAAATATACTACAAATGGGACGGCCTTAACAAACAGGAATTTATTCTCTTACAGTTTGGAGCCTTTAAGTCCAATTCAAAGTGCCAGGCTCTAGGGGCTGGGTGAAAGCCCCTCAACCTTGGGGTCCAGCTCTGCCTCCTGCTCCCGGCCCACTGAAGCTAGAGGCATTTCTTCACTCAGACAGTTGCTGGCTGCTGAGGCCGAGAAACCCAAGGTTGACAAGTAAAAATGTACAGTCCCGATATTACCACACCACATGGCAGGTCATTAATTTAAGTCCATTGTAAGTCCCAAGGTCGGCAGAGCATGGCAGGCTGCTGAACAATGACACGGTTACACGCAGGGTCCAAGCGTGCCATAAGCTAGAGACCATTCCCCAAGGCTTCACTTATGTACGGGAAGCGGACCACATCCCCAAGGCAGCTACTCAGCTGCTCACAGTAGATTCCATCACAGAGTTGATTACCAGTCTCATCATGCAGAATACTACATCCAGCTGCCCAGCCACTCAACCAGGCCCAGCCAAATTGACATGCAAACTGAACTACCACAGAAATGAAGTTTCAATTACAAATCTGTGAGGAAGTTGATTAAAAATAACTTAAAACAAGTTCACATTTGAAGAAAAAGAAAATAACATAATGTCTTAGGAAGTTGTGCAGTCTGTCTCATAATTGTTTATACTACAAACTTTATACTATATAAACTTTATACTGTAAATGTACTTGTGCTCAGGTTTTGTGAGAAAAATCAAGTGTGTTGTTCTGCATGAGAAATAATACCAAACTGGAATTAAAGAGTATTGGATTCTATTCCACAAATGAGCTGTGGCATTTTGAGCAATCTGTTAATTCTCTGAGTTTGAGTCCTCCTTTGAGATTTGAAAGGATTAGACTAAGTAATCTCTAAATTCTTATACAGCTGTAAAATATAAAATCTGTATAATATTTTTACATGGCCTCTTATATGACCTTTCTTTCCTCAGTAAATACTGAACATGGGGGGGTGGGGGCGGTGAAGAGGAAATGACCCTTATTTCTTCGCACACAAGTCCTTAGAACCAATGGCCATTTTTGGATTGAATGAACGAATATAAGCATGCATGAATGAGTGCTTCCTCACAGAGTTTCTAGTTAGAAATGTAATTATTATGTAGATATAAACATCAAAAAATAAAAAGGTGGCATGGTTCAAAATTTTATGGTATAACTGGTTAGTTGCTAGTGCTAACATAACTTTATTATTATATGAGAGTAACAAATGGTAGTGTATTAATACGATCATTGATGTTTAATATAATTACAGATGATTAAATTATTATTGATCATTTGTTGAAAACTTTGCTCATTTAGAAGAGGAATTTTAAACTAAAGCATTTTCTTACTTCTGACCTATTTTAGAGAAATTATGAGTTAACTACAAAGCTTTGGGTGATAGGTTAATTCTACTAAGGAAGTTCCTGACTGGTGCAAATGGCTAACATGCTCAGCTGCCAACTGAAATGTTGGGGGTTCAAGTCCACCCAGAGGTGCCCTGGGGAAAGTCCTGATGGTCTACTTCTGAAAACCTAGCATTGAAAACCCTGTGGAGCACAGCCCTACTCTGACACATGGGGTTGCCATGAGTTGGAGTCTACTCAACAGCTGGCTAATTCTGCTACATCCCATCACCCTAAACATGACATCCTCCAATACTAAGTGGGTATCCAACTCTTCACTCCTTAGTAGTAATGTGTAGAAAAGGTTTTCATCTTTTCTTTCTACCAAAATAACAGACTGAAAGAGAATTTGATCAAGAAAATAAGAAACTAGGGTATATTGACACACTGAAAAAGCAAACACACACATATACACACACGCACACACAATTTAACTCAGTAACTTCCTCAATTGCTTCATGTACCCACTTACAAACTGATGTTTATTGCAGGCACAGTTCCAAAATATCCCTAACATGGAATGGAAAATGGAGAACAATCGAGTAACTGCTAAGGGGGTCTATCTGGATGAGAAAGATAGTTTCTTCTTTTGAACAAGGGAAGATGCCTCTCTCTGGATATATTCCAAAAAGAGAAGCACAGAGGATTCCATTCCTCTTGGTTGTAGTAATGATGTGGTGTGTCTGCTTCACAATATCTTGGACCTGAATTTTTGGAAAAGCTAAGGATTTTTTTCTAAAGCTTAGCTTTCAGCTCAACCACTCTAATCTGAGTATGAATGTTATTCATAGATTAACACTCCATAAGCTGACACAAGCACAGTAAGTTTTTATTGTTAAATTACTATGTTACCATATGCAGAGCAAAAGTAAAGGGACTAATTACTTGTTGTGCATTCACATTTTAAATTCTTGAATAATAAATAAGTAAACAAATGATTAGTTAGGAAAAGAAAAACCAAAGCTACGGTTTCCTTATAAGTCTTATAATTCCTCTAATAATTATAGAAAACATGCTCAAAAATTTTAGAAAACACTTTTTTCTACATGTGATATCATATTAATAAATAAACTGTAATTGCAAAGACTCCCTCAATATTAAGGACAGTCTGTGTCTGGCTAATGTAATTATCATGTGGATATAAGCATCAAAAAATAAAAAGGTGGCATAGTTTAAAATTTTCCAAAAATGTAACACTCTTAATGCTGAGTTTCCAGTTCCAGAATTGTCCATTCCCCTTGGGGTGAACAATCTTCAGAGGAAAAACTAGCCATGGTGATGCTTGCTGAGGAATCAAGTGGAGATGATAGTTCGCTCCATCTGTTCAAAGTGTCAACATGTGCTTTACCCTGAGGTTTTGAGCTGTCTCGTGCTAAAAGTAGTGTCTGATTGATAAGGTACTGTGCTAGATTTAAGTCTTCAGGAACAGAATTTGTAATGTTCAAGTTTGAATCCTCTTCGGAGAGCAGTTGCTTTAGTAGTGTCCAATCTTGTTTTGCAAAGTGTTGATTATCTTCAAAATCTATGTCCATAATGTGTGATTCTGAGTCCATTTTCTGCTCAAAAGCTTCTATTACATCCATCTCATATATTGGAGAAAGGGTTTTTGAAGGCCGATGGTCATACATGCAGGTTTGTGCCAGTGTGTCACAATCATCTATGTCTCCTGAAATAATTCATAATACTACACAATGTAAAAATTGCACATGTTGTTGCCCCTCAGAGTTTTGTAGAACAATATTAACACAATATAACAGTAATAATTAAAAAAAAAACATATAATGGGAAAAACAACATTTATACAAAATTGATGAGATTCTTGAGGCAATTCTTTTTCTATGTTAAAAAAAAAACAACTCAAGGGTACTATTTAGCAGCAAAATCATATAGGAAACTAACCATAATTTTCCATATTTTAATTGAAAACTTGTGATACAGAAAACAACATAAATTATTTAAACATAAACACAGAATGCAGACATATATCTACTTCACTATAATATAAACTTAAAAAGAAAAAGGACATGGTTATATCATGGTGACTTTTAAAGTAAGTCAGTTCCAAAAGGGAGAATAAATACATTTTATCAAAAGGCTTATCTGTATATTGCACATGCAAAGGAGGATGCAAGCAAGGACAAACAAACAAACAAAAGTACAACTTTTGAAGATCTCCCTATTCTTTTGATCTGCTGAACAGGGACTATTGATCAGTATTTTTTGTAGTCCTGATAAACAATAGCTACTCAGTCAGCCACTACTGCATATTTTAAATTTGGGTCATTGGTTCAAATGACTGTAATAAGGAAGACAAACATAAAACAATTAGACAGGAAATCATCTAAACATATGCAATAAGCCTGGGCTTTTTTCACAAATAATAATTGCTTCTAAATATAATCTCTTTTAGGAAATTTATCTTTTCACTTGAAAACTTCAGAATATAATTATAGTGCTCCTAAAAGTCTTGATCTCTGTAAACTGTATATAAATTGTAGTAACTAATCTAGTTGTTAAAATAGTTCAGTGATTTTAGTTACACATTCCTATAGTTATTGCACAGCCCTCTTAGATATATTCTAACATAGTCCATAGATCATATCCAATGAATAATAAAATTTCTAATAATCAAGAATTCCTAAATGTTAAATCTGACATAAATAAATGATAGCAAATTAACTTATTTTCTTTATTCCTTCATGTAAAATCTCTCACATTAGCTCTATATAGTAGTAGACAACCAAATTTTTTTTTTACCAGATATTAATTCTTCATTAGGATTTTAAGTGAACAATAAAGAATAACTAGCTAATTTTCCTATTATTAAGAAACTTAAGTTTTCCTTTGCTTAAGTAAGTAATTAACCTACCTAACTAAAATATAATATTCAGGGCTGGATACAACTTTAAAATTCTATAAACTCATTTTCATTTTAGCATTTCTATTTCTGTACATTACCTGCAGTTAAAGCAATATTGGCTTTTTCGGTAGCTGTGGGATGGCTCTCTTTCACTTGACCTTCCTGAGGCAGAACTTGACTCCGATAGGAGTCTATAGATTTTGTAGAGCTGTTCTTTGGTATGTCAGAACTGAGTTCTCTCTGGTGAAGCTCCAAATGACAGGGTCTTTCTTGATTTTTTATATCACTATCTGAAAGTTTGCTGCATTGCTGAAAGTCATTATTTTGATCACTCCCAATGTTAACTTTTGAATCTTCTGGAAGAAGCTGTTTGCCTCCTTTGGACAGGACATCTACTGTGTTCCTTTTTTCTGTGGCTGAAGCACTGTGGTGATCTTTTCTTGAAGAGTCAATGCTATGACCCAAGAGAGGGCTTTCATTTTTATGTACACTATTGCCTTTATCTTGCTTACATTCTAAAATACTATTGTGACTTTCTGGCAAGCATCTGGAATAGCAGGTCCTTTCATGATGTGAATGAGAAACGCCATCAAAAACATCAGAAGGTGAAAGACAATCTATTGAAGATGGCAAGGAAGTGTGAACTTCCCCTTCATCAGACCCCAGCTCTTCACATTCATCAACTGAAAGTAAAACTGATCTTTTAAATTTTTTACTTGCAGAAAACTCATGACTTTCATTTTCAGCTGCATCTTCAAAAGCTAAATTAATTATTCCCTGAAACTGCTGAGGAGCTTGGTCAGATGTAGGAAAACTTTCTGCAACATTTTCCGTTTCAGACCTTTCATCTTCTGTTTCATCTGCTGAGGAAGAAATTTGATCTATTTCCTGAGCACACTGGACACTGCCTCGCAGAGTATTTTCTTTCTCCCTAGGGTGGACTATTGCAGAACGAGACCAAATGTCTGGCCTTTTCCTAGGAATCTCATCATCACTTGTGGAATTTACTTGGAAAAGATCATTGCTACTTTGCTTTTTCATTTTTACTTCAATTCTTAAATTACTATCATATATTTTTAATTCTTCAGGAGTGCTGGTATCACTGCTACTTCTTCCAAGAAAATCGTGGCACAGCATAGTGCCACATTTAGAAACACCTCTGTCATTTGAGCCATCATCATCCTGAGACCCTCCAGCATCATAATCTTCAGATCTGGGCTTTATGTCATCAGAAGATGTGGTAGCGCTGCCAGTATCAGATTCGGGACTCTCTCTCTGATGAACACTGGATCTCAAACTCCAGGGACCCATGAATGGAGCTTCTAATGTCTCATGGTTCTCTGGAGTTTCTGTGGTTTCCAAATCTTTAGGAGAACTTTTTCCTGATATTTGTCCTGAACAACATTTAGAAGAAATATCTGAACCTACTATAGCATGTTTGTCTCTGTTTGTAGCAGAGTCATCAGAAAACTGAGTAGGAATTGTCAGTCCTTCTACATGAATTTTGCATTTTCTGTCATTTTGAACAGAATTTAAAGTAGCATTTGTCCTTTCAGGAACAGAAGGTAAAAAATCTTTCACACCTTTAATGGTTGATTTTTGCTTTGTATCTTTTCTGTCTATTTGGTTCTCCCTCTCTGGTATTAAATGGATTTGCTCTTCTTTTGTTGAGTCTAAATCACAGGCTAGATTAGAGTGCAAGGAGTTTTCATTTGGATTTGTAATCATGGATTTTAGGGCAGTGGTACTAAGATATTTAAAATCTACATTATCACTCCCATCAGAATGAGAATGTATTTTAGCTGCATGGTACTTATCTGTTTCTTTGTGATCAGGAAACTTTGTTTCACTTTTATCTGAACAAATTTGTTTTGATTCCAGTTCACGTTTTACTAATTTATCCAGTTTTGAAATATTTTGGCACTCTACTACCATCTTCTCTTTTCCTTGCTTGTTTAATGGCTTTTGTGGATCGGGTTTACATAAAGAATGAGATGCTTCTGTACCACTGATCTCAGGTGTAAAATTAATTAGAGCTTTGTAAGACTTCTGTTCTGATACACTGCTCTTATTATTATCATGTACATCACGAAGCATACTTTTTTGGACAGGTGTTTCACTTTTTAAAGGTCTTTGAGAAGATTGAGTCTTCGAGGTAACCTGTCCAGGAAGTATTTTCTGTTTTGCATCTTTATTATTCAAAGTTTCCCCTTTCTTTGACTGACTTAGGCTTTTAGGCATTGTCACTATTTTTGCATTAACCTTAGGCAAAGTTGTGTGTCCCTGCTTGACAGTTTTTCTCTTAGGTGTTTGTTTATCTGTAGTTGCATTGTGATCCACCTTTCTCACATTTTCTTCAGACTGCCTTGAGGAGACTGAAGATTTTAGTGAATTTGGTGACTCTCCTTGAGATCCTAAGAAAAGAGAGTTCAAAAACACAATATAGACTCTAAATTGTGAATGAAATGCAGTATTTATTTCTAAATTAAGAAAAAATAAAATTAATGAAATAGTAACATCTCTATAATCAAATGGGCAATTACAGATTAGGAGTTAACCCAAAAAAACCCATTGTCATCAAGTTGATTTTCAATTCACAACAATCCTACAGAACAGAGAACTGCCTCATAGGGTTTCCAAACCCTATGGTAAATCTTTACAGAAACAGACTGCCTTTTCTTTCTCCCGCAGACCAGCTGGTGGGTTGAAACCCCGATCTTTCAACTAGCAGCCAAAAGCTTTAACCACTGTGCCACCACAGTTCCTTGATTAGGGGTTAGTGGTATGATAATAAGGGTCCTAGAGGTGTAGTGGTTAAGCAAGACTGAAGGTGAGAGGTTCAAACCCACCAGATGCTGTGAGGGAGAAAGATGTGGCAGCCTGCTTCCATAAAAATTATAGCCTTGGAAACCCTATGAGACAGTTCTAGTCTGCTCAATACTCTTTTCCTTCTTAAAACAAAGAAAACAATAGAAACAGTACAAAGTCTGGAGGAAAAATTCTCCATCCTTATGTATTATATATAGCTTTCTAGAGTACACCATTACTTTTTTTTTTTTTAGCACTCTTTAGTTCTATTTTAGCAAATGTAATTCCTATAGTTATCAATGAAACCTCCAAGAAACAGACATGATATATAAAAGGCCCAGAAATGCAGATAAATTAATGACTCTCTCAATTATGTCTCCCACAATAGACAATAAAAGCAACCAAACTTAACCCCAAAACACCAAACTACTTGAAAATTAATAGTATAAAATCTCATCTCTGTATTGTGAAAGGAGTGAAACCATGCTATATTTTGCTTACTTGCTGCTAGGGTTCCAAATCAGAGTTTGTTTATCCACTTTAAACAAATAAGTAATATTCATGATAGCCAATACTATTCCAGTTTTACCTTGGCTTTTAGCAAGATTAGATGGGGTACCCTTTGTCCTGTGCTGGCCTGTAGCACATCCATTGCCATTTCCTCTTTTCTTCAAAACTGCCTGTGGTACTGGATCACTAGGTCCTTTGCCAGTGACTTTCTTTAACACACTAAGAAAAATGATTTGCATTCAATATTACATTGAAATTCTAAAATGGGACCTCTTAAAAGGCCCACACATGAAATACACAATTATTTTTCAAAGGAAAAATAAAAATTATATTTCTTTTCTGAAAGCAGAAAGCCATATGTGCATAAGTCTTTTAAGTTTATAAAAGTATAGATTAAGTCTGATAAAGCAATGAATCATCAAGTGCTACAAGAGTAATCTAAGGTATTCTTCTATCACTATGCATAAATATACAATTTCTTTTAAAAGAAAATAGTTTTAAAAATACCATTGTGTAAATATACAAATTTCTTTTAACAGAGAAGAAAATATATTTTTAAAATATTTAGCTAGAAGTTAGTTAGTATAAAATTAATTTCCAGAGAAAGCAAACATGTATTTACTAAAACACTGAATGAAGACCTACCTGCCATTTATATTAGTTTCTTGTTCATGAATGCTTTTTTTATTGGGAGTTCCATTGGTAGCCCTTGAAACAGGTCGAGATTTTACTGGTATAAATTAAGAAAAACTGAGTCACAAGATAGAACATACTAAATACATAATAATTATGTGTAAATTCATTGTTCAGACACTATAAACAAAATTAAATGTTAAAGTACGAGGAATTATGTTTCCCTTAATTTGAATGAATATACAGAAACACTTTTGGCATTTGAAACAAATAAAATTCCAAACAGAGGTTCATTTTTTCTAGGACCTTTAGCTATCAGGAGCTATTTCAAAAATTAGAGTGCTAAAACCCACCTACAGTGGAAGTTCTGACACTTCCCACAGTGGTTTTTGCTGTTTGTCCTTGAGAATCAAAAAAAGACAGGTTATGATCTGATGGCTTCTCTCCTCTGATCGATCCATTTTCTTTTGGTTCATCTAGATATTCAGTTGAAATCAGTAATTCTGTACTTGAATTGGTAGATTTACTAGAGGGTCCAGTGATGCTGAGGCCTGGAGACTCTTTTCCTGTTACTTTCTTCAAAGGCTTTGCTTTGGCATGCACATTTAAGTTTCCAGAGAGTATCTTGGGTCTGGCACCTGTAATTTGCCCTTCCTGATTTTTCACTCCTTTTCCATTTAATGAATTCTTCTGTCCATATGCTGCTGCTGATCTTTCCACAACTTGCCCAGGAGACATGTTTTCTGACTTTGCATTATCACTGTTTTCTGTTTTGGGTTTAATTATAGCTCTGGGCTTCCCAGAAACATTTTTTTCCCCAGTTTTTAAATCTTTTGTAACCTTAGGTGTTATTTTTGTACCATTCTTTTCTTTTAAATCTTCATGCTTCAAAGTTTTATTTATAGTATTTCTATTACTTGATGAATGTCCAGATGCTCCCAATCCATCAGATTTCATCTTTTGATTAGTGGAGGGGTAACTCCAACACTCTTTCTTGTTATTTTCCCTCCAAGACTTGTTTTTTATAACAGGAGAGTCAGAAACTTGTTTCCTTTGCTACAAAAAAAGAAGGGGAAAAAAAAACTTTGTAACTTGACTAAAGTTTTACCATTGTTAGGTCTTTGACATATAATACTTATGTTTGAATAACCAGTTTTTCAAAGAGAAATAATCAGCAAAGTTTTCATTTTATGATTTAGAGCCACTTAAAACTTAAATGGTCTTTTAAAACATTTCAGTTTGTTTCACATTACTTTAATTAAATCTGAAATACAGCATAAAATGTTTCTTTAAGGGACACATTATTTTAATTTATGAAGCTATGGTAAATATTAATACCTAAAGGCTCAGGATGCCTTTGGTGAATAAAACATCCAATATTCTTTGAAGGCTCACTCTCAGGTTCTGTGTTAAGCCTTTTTATACATCATCTCACTTAATCCTTACAACAATTCTGAGAGATAGCTCCTGTTTCTATCTCCATTTCTTAGATAAAACAATGAGGATTAAAGCAGGTATGTGACTTATACAGCACCACACACTGGTAAGAGGTGGAGTAGGATTTGAGTTCATGATTTATTGCCTCAAGCAGACAGTCATCATAATTTGACTGGCTTTATCTTGATTTTCACTGAAAATTCTGTCTTCAACTCTACCCCAAATCCCAGAAATTTTATTATTGAAGACTGAATCCTCTGTGGTAGAATTGTTTATTTCTTGGAGTCCTCATTAAAAACAAAACAAAAAAGCTCCTGGTCAACACAACACCTTATATCTGAAAAGTCTGGCTTAGTAGCACAGTACTAATTGTCTGTAGGAGTGGAGAAAAAGGATAGGTAAAAAAGAAAAATAGAAGGACACTGAAGATAAATACACCTCCTTCATCATTTTGCTTAGAACCAACCTCAATATACAAGAGAACAACAAAATTTAAAAGGTTGGTAGAGATTTTAGAACATATTTTTAAGGTTTATACTAAGATATTCTTGATGTAAATATGTAAGTATTTGTTATTTTTCTCTGTAAAGCTGTGTAAGATTGTAGAGGTGTCAGGCAGAGCCTATACTGTCTTCAATCTATGTAACATTTATAAAGTTATAGGCTTGGTTTTCATATTTGGTTTTCTTGATCAAATAATAACTTAACTTTCAGTACTTAAAAACCAGGCAAATTTCTGCCTTTAGGCCTCTTTCTTACTCTTAAAAACTGAGTCCACTTAATTTACTCATCTTTTAATACTTTTAAGTATTTAAGTAGGAGCTCTGGTAGCGCAGTGCCTAAGGCACTTGACTGGTAGTCACTCCTCAGAAGGAAGGTTGGGCAATCTACTTTCCGTAGTGATACTGCCTTGGAAACCCAAGGAAGGGTCACTATGAGTCGGGTCCGACTCCATGGCACATAACAACAAGAAGAAGAAGGATTTAAGTACAGTTAGTACGTACAACTAGACAGATTTCTGCTCTCAGACCTCTTTCTCACTCTTAAAAACTGATTCTACTTAATTTGTTGTTGTTGTTGTTGTTGTGTGCTGTCAAGTACTTAATTTACTCATCTTTTAATCTATCCACATTAAAACATGCTATGGAGTGAGATCTATGCAATATTTCTAGTTAACTAAACTCCTTTAGAGGAAGCTCTGGTGGCATAGTGCCTAAGGCATTTGAGGGCTAACCAGAAGGCTGGTGGATCAAACCCACCAGCCACTCCTCAGAAGGAAGATTGGGTAATCTACTTCCTTGTTGTTGTTGTTATGTGCTGTCGAGTCACCCCAACACATAGCGACCCTCCTTGGGTTTCTGAGACAGTATCACTATGGAAGTAGATTGCCCAACCTTCCTTTCTTGGAGTGGCTGGTGGGTTTGAACCGCTAGCCTTCTGGTTAGCAGTCAAGTGCCTTAGGCACTATGACTTAGCGTCTGTAAAGTTTACATACATTCTTCACATGCAAATAGCAAACTAGGCAAGTTCATCATGTTATTAACAAAAATGAAGAAAAAGAGTATTATTAACAAAGATGGAGAAAAACAGTGTTACCCTCTAAAGCATACCTCTTGGATACTCTTTTGGCTTTAGTTAAGATTCTTTTTCAAAACATCTTTTTTTTTTATTTTAGAAAAATGTAAACACAATCAAAAGAAGACAGAATAGTATATAATAAATACCCATGAAGTCACTATCAGCTTTAATAATATTCAACTCATGAACAATTGTTTCACATTTACCCATACCTTATTTTATTTTTAAACAAATCCCAGACATCATGTAATTTCATCCTTAAGTATTTCAGTACTAGCACTCTTCTTGAACCTTCCTCTCTGTCTTCTCACATTAATTTTCTCCCTTCTCCAAGGATCTCATCTCTCTTTGGAAAACACATTTATTCATTTCACATTTACTGAGTACTTATTCAGACCAGATAATTGCACGTAAGTTATTATACTTAATTTTCACAATAATCCTGTCAGATTTTATTACTCCATTTTACAGATAACCAAACTAAGACTTCTGGTTTAAATATCTTGCCCAAGATGACATAGCTAACAGATGTGAAGTCAAGATTTGAACCCAGCTCTTCTGATGCCATGTCCAGCACCATTTTCACTTTACTTGCTGTTTTTATGGGAGCTCTGGTAGCGTAGTGCCTAAGGAACTTGATTGCTAACCAGAAGGCTGGTGGTTCAAATCCACCAGCCACTCCTCGGAAAGAAGGCTGGGCAGTCTACTTCCGTAGTGATACTGCTTCAGAAACCCAAGGAGGGGTCCCTATGAGTCAGGTGCGACT